AACACGTCGCCCATACGTCGCCCCCTGCATTTTAATGCGCATAATTAAATGCAAAAAACCGATCCACCGTGGCTGACCCACAGGCGCGGCGGGAAAAACTGCGGAATTGCCTCAACAGGTCGTCATACTCTACCGGTCGGTGTGTTCGCCGGCTCGAATTCATTAAGTCGCGTTTAATCAATTACGCGTTCGACATTTTCTTCCGCTACCTTCGCTCGGAGGGGGTGCGGATAGGTAGCCTTCTCGATCGATTCGCGAACTCGTCGGGGGTAAAACGGCGAATATCCGTCCGCAGACGAGGGTGAATCGCGGGCCGGCCGGCCGGGTTGGCCATCTGCGGCAAATACGCGACGCATTTAATCGGCGAGCGCGAGCTATCCTTCCAAAAAGTTTCACCCCCGGTTGATCCTGTTACCGAGCCAGAGGATTAAGCACGATACACGGACGATTGCCTTACACCGATCACCAAGTAACTTTCGCGTTATCGTCTCATCCACTGGCCGTTTATCCTGCAGCCCGGCGTCGGCCGGGGAAGAAGCGCGCCAAGGCGGAGAAAGCTATCGAGTTGCCGGAAACTCCCGAGTGTGAAGGAAACTCTTTAATGTTTTCGCCCCGCTTCCGGCCGGTGGAGGTCGGTTGGTTACTGGCCGTCTCGATTGGCGTCCGCTCGGTCTAGCCCGGAAATTTATTTAATCGACGCGGCGGCGTCCCGAACAACCGACGAATTTCGTGAACCGCGCTGACACGTGAAAGTCGGCGACATTCCCCGACGCGACTTCGTTAATCACATATCGCAGTTTAGTCTAGTCGACGTTCCCTCGCTCCCAATTTCCTCCCTTAATATTGCGTTGCGAGCCGAGAGAGTGGAAATCTTTGTTTGTTGAAGTATTAGAAACACCGCGGGTTTGACAATCAAATATTGAGGGAACACGCGACGACTCACGTCGGAAGTGTCTCCGGCCGCTTCTCTATTTGCGAATTAACCATTCAGACTCGTTGCTCCAGTTTCCGGACATCGAGACTCGTCTTCCGCGCGCGCTCGTTGAATTTTCGAATAGTTTTCGCGAAATCGAGCGAAATTCGCGCGACATTGAACGCGCGACGGAGGAAAAAAGGGAGGGGAGGAAGTCAATGAAATTCCGATCGTCTGAGAACTCGACGCGGCTGATCCTGTTATCAGATTACGGGATTCAACCCGATACACGGGGAAATCATCTCCGCGCCGACCTTCGCCTTCGCTCCTTCTTCTCCCCACCTCCCTCTCTCTCCTTCTATCTCTCTCTCTCTCTTTCTCTCTTTTGCACGCTTTTCTGCATCTACCTTTTCACGTCCGCTTTTCCGGCTGAATTGCGAGCGGTATAGAAAAGAGGAGTAACGAATTAATGTGTGTAGGGGGGAAGCGTTACACACATATGTGTATATATAATGTGTGTGTGTTTGTGTACATGATGTGTACGGAAGCGCGTTACTTGCGCAGCGAGGAGAAAGCCGCGGAGCGCGATAACTTCAAATGCGAAAGAGATTCTATGATATCACGGCCCGTATCTCGCGGCAACGAGAAACTATGCGAAACACTCTTCTACCCGCTTTATGTAACTATGCGAAGAGCGCGGCGAAGACGCGACTCCGATTCGATCCACGAATAACATTTAACACTGGGCGACCACTGGGTTGCGTCAATATTATGCTTTTCGGTGGTCGACCGAATCTCCCTTTTTTTTTCTTGCCGCACTTCAGTCGGAATTGGGAAATCGCTCGTCGGAATTAGTTGGCGAAGGGTTGCGCTCTTCGCCGACCCTTCGCCGAGAAGACCTCTCCCGGGAAGATTAGGGAATTTTCATATCTGTGCAGCGGCGATTTTTCTTTTTTCCTTCCTTCTTTTTCCCTTTTCTTTCAGGTAGGGCTGTTTACGCGGGAGCTTGGCCCGTTATGGCCGAAGATTGAAGAGCGCGCGAAAGCGCGATGGACAGCCTGAAAAATGTAGGAATCCCTCAAGTAGCGCGCGAGCGGGATTACTCGCGTTTAAAATTCCCCAACCGGGCAGAATCGCCGCTTCGACCTTTTCAGTATTAAAGGGTCGGCCGCGTTATTTGGACAAGCGGAGGAGAGATCCGCGAAAAACAGAGGAGTAGTAAGAGCCGGCTGGATAGAAAGTCGAAAACCGCAAAAATCTATCAAGTAACCAAGCGGGATTACCCATTTGGAATTCGCCGGCGGTCGGGACGACCGTTTCTGGATCCTTTCGGTGTTAAAGGACTGGCCGCACTATTTGAACAACCGCGAAAGCTATCGCCGCTGAAAACTGAATAATATAAGAGCGGATGAGAAAGGAGATGCAAAAAAGCGCAAAAGTCTATCGGGAGTAAAGAGACAGAAATTCAACTGTTTGAAGCTCGCCGACGGTGACACACAAACGATCCTCTCAGTCTTTCCGGTGTTAAAAGCACCAGCCGTGATATTCGGATAAGCATGAGAGAGAGAGAGAGAGAGAGAGAGGTGTAACAGCGAAAAGTCGAATGACGTAAGCGCGGGGATAAGCTAGAAATGAAATAACATATGAAAATCAAGCGGAGACTTTACGCGGTAGTGAGCGGTGTTCGAAATTTCGCCAACTTTCGAAATGACCAAGCTTGCCTCCTTTCCGGCGTTAAATTACTGCCCTTATTTGGACAAGTACGAAAGATCCTCCGCGGATGCGACCGAGGGATTTAACGGCGGGATCCCGTTACCGGGACAAAGGATTAAAGCTCGATGCACGGACGATCACCAACTAACTTTCGCCTTATCCTCCCATTTCCCGTTTCTCGCCGCAAGCTCACGGCACTCGCCGAAGTAACGCGGCCGGAGTGAGTGCAGGGGCGAGAAACCTGTCAAGTGCAATAACTCGAAATGCGAGAGAAATTCTTTCGCTAAGGCCGGGCGTCCCTTGCCGCGAGTAGCTGCACGAAATGCCCTTCTCCCGTTCCTTTTTTACGCGTTTTTGACATCACGCGTAGGAAACCCATTACGGAGCCGCGAGGCTCGATAGCGCGAGATTACGGCTCTCGAATAAGGAGCAGCATCCTGAGATTTTCTCGACTATTCATCCCTGCTTGACAACTTTGAGAGAGACAGAGATAGAGGTAGATAAACAGAAAGAGAGAGAGAGAGAGAGAGAGAGAGAGAGAGAGATAGAAAGCCGAGGGCTAAAGTATAAATTAATTAAATTCGTTAACATTAAATCTCGCGTTTCCCACTCATTTGTGCGCGCGATGTATCTCGAAAATTATATTATATTCATCGGCGGCGCAATCGTCGCTATTTTCGGCGCGGTCGGTCTCCAAATCTCGAGCCGTATCGATCCTCCAGTATATAGCCCACGTGCAATAATGTAAATTGTAATTATACAAAAAATACTACATGTACGCCACAACACGGTGTAATGACGGGAAACATCATCCGCGCGGAGCATCAAGCTCGCCCGCAAATTTGATTTCAATTCAATCGGGGAGTACGCGCGCGCGCGCGATAAATTAGATTTCTAAATAAAATATATATCCCGGAGATTCCCCGGCAAGTGTCACTGGGCGGTCTCGCAGGACAATCGCTCGGGGACGATTCCTTACAGCAAGGGCCCACAATAGCGACGTCGTTCGGGCCACTCGGAATTTCGGATTTATAGCGGGCAGCATATTCCATACGGCGGCGTCCAAGAAGCGTACGCCGCAATTCCCCATAAATTCGAAAATCTCGAGAGTCGCCGCGCCGGATACTCCCAGAGGGATCGCCGGCCGATCCTATTACCGGGCCACAGGATTAAGCCCGATGTACGGAAGATCGCCCCGGACGATCGCCAACTAACTTCCGCGTTATCCTCTCCGTCCGTCGACCGTTTTTCCCGCAGCCCCCGACGTCGCGGTGGTGGTCGGTCGAAGAAGGACGGCGCGATACGCCAGCGGGTTCGAGAGGGACGCGGCGGCTGCCGCCTCCGTCCGCGCTCCTCCGAGCGGAGCGTATTTCGCCAATTTCGTTAGCGCCCGCACGAACGCGCTCCCACTTTCCTGCGCGCACACACGTATACACGAGCGTGCGAGTGAGAAACCCGCGCGTACGTAGGGAACGCACCAAAAGAGAGGCGCCCTCGCTAGAAAGAGAGAGACGGAAGATTTTGCAGCGATCATCGACTTGGAGAACGGCGCAGTCGCCCAGGAACCAACTCGAACTCACTCACCCAGTCCTCCCCCCCCCTCCCTCAACAACCTTCGCCATCTCGTTTCATCCTCATCGCGCGCTTTCCTTCCATCCCGCGCAGCCAGGTGGTCTTCCACCCTTCTCGAACGCCGCCACCATCGGCACAACCACCCACCACCGCCACAACCACTGCCATCACCTCCACCACCACCACCGCCGCTACCACCACCACCGTCACCATCGCCACCACCACCACCATCGCTGGCGCCGCCACCACCACCACAGTCCGGCAGCCGGTACCAGCAACAGCGGCAGTAGCAGCAGCACTGCCGTCGCTGCCACCTCCTCGACTCCAACGTGTCTCTTTCTCTCTCTCCTCCCCTCCCTCCCCGTATATCACTCTCTCTCTCTTTCCCTCCCACGCCGCTACAATCCCCGTCGCGTCGCTGCCGCACGTCCCTCTCGCGCGCGCCTCGGCACCTCCACCGTGCCGGTGCCGCAGTACCGACTGCTTTCCGCGGAAGGTGGAAACCCGTGTAACGCGGCCGTATATAGATTTTCAATTAGTCAGCGGGGTGGCAGCGTAGGTAGGAAATTATGTGCCGCGAGTAGTAGCCGCGAGTACTTGAACACCCGCCGCCGGTCGCGTCTCGGCGCGCGCGTAAGTCGTCAACGCCGCCGTGTTCTCTCTCTCGCGCGCGCGCGTTCGCGCCTCTCCGTCGCCGCGCGCGTTCCGCCGCGTGTGCGGCGATACAACGCTCTCTCTCTCCTGAACGCGCGTCCTGCCGCCGCGCCGCATCGCGCTGTGCCGCGTCGTGCCGCGCGTGTTCCGCCTCGAACTGCCAGCGTGGAAAGATCGATTTCCTAGCGGCGTGTACGGAGAGAGAGAGAGAGAGGGAGCGAGCGTTCGCGGCCGAGTGTTTACCGGGATCACGTTGTGGACTCGGTCCCCCCCTGTGTGAGCGATGACTCGCCAGTGACGACGGTACGCCGGAGATAGATCTCCTCGCCGAGAGCACGTCCCCACCGGGATCACCCGCGGGAGCGAGGATGCTGCGTGCGGTCTTCGCCGTCCTGCTGCCACGGTTCCTCGCACTGTCGCCGTTGCTGCTCCATTCAGGTACGCGACACCCCGCATGAGCCTCGGCGGACCACCCGGAGGCTCAATCGCGGTCGAGTGACGGCGAGGTCCGGCGGCGGGTGAAGTAGCGAAAACGCGAGAAGTGAGGGAGGGAGAGAAAGCGGGGGAGACACGTCGAGATACGTTTATGTAGATCTGAGGGTAATTTATAGGGGTATACGCGAATAGAATTGCGATAAGATTTTATTGCGAGAGCGGAATATATCCTCCGGAGGCACGTAGAGGCGTGGTTTCCGCCGCGGATCGGTGTCGATACGGCAAACAACGAATCCGCGCGAGTCCACATGAAAGCCTTTATAAGAGATATCAAAACCCATTTTTCGGCATGCGTGCGCGTTCGACGTGCCGGGCATTTCGACTGCTCGGCCCAAGTTCGATAAAAGTGTGCATGAATCGCCGCTGATTCGCCGGGTTAAAGCGGCACCGCTTGCGAAAAATCGGCGAAATCTCTCGCGTCGCGCGCGGCATGATTCAGCGATTCATCGGCGCTCTCATTATGTTATAAGCGAATTAGTAGATTAACGAGCCGCGCTAATACGGGCGACGCAAATTTCGCAATTATCTTGAAATCAGCCGATTAAATCGCCGACAAAGAGGCATCGGGTGTACGTGGTGTTGCGCGCACACACACACATCGACAGATGCATATCTTGCGCACGGCCCGTCTAACTCGCTCGCGCGCGGCAAAATGCAACGTGACATGGAGGAATAAAAACCAGAAGAATAAAAGCTAGACGAATAAAAGCTAGTACACAAAGCGCCATGCATTTATGTATATCCATGCAAAGCGCCGGGAATAACAATATCTAGTCGCGCACGAAAATAGCAGGGAGCCTCGGCCGCGATAAACAACATTCGCGGTCGAAATAATTCAATTACGTACAGAGTTATCGGCGAAAGAGCGATCTTGGGAGAGGGAAGGGGAGAGGAACCGAACTTCGGAATTCAGTCGGATACGCAATCGGCGGTTTACGTAACCGGCGGAAGCTCGAGAGCCTGTCTCCTTCGGCTCGAATAAATTGGAATAACAGCGCTGAGAAAAATCACCGAATCACCCCCCACCCCTCTCTCTCTCTCTCTCTCGCCACTCGACTTTTCCGCCCGCATTATATCGCGCGCCAGTCGAAGCCGGTGTTACGCCTCGAAATTAGTTCGCTGATTTAACTCCGCGCCGCCACGCTATCGAGCGCATTTTTAGTATCCTCGACGAAACTTTGTTTTAAGTTCGTACTTAATTAAAACATTCGCCGATCGCAAGCGCGCGCACGAGGCCGCACGGCGGCGATCTTTACCCGTGAAATAGCGTGGAGGCGGAGGGGAGGGAGGGGGAGAGAGCGAGCGTAACTACTGTTTGTGAATCGGTCGAGATAATGGAATGGTCGGCAGCTTCAAACAACCATTGTCGCGCGGAAATTGCTCCTTCACCCGACAGCCGCGCATTGATCGCTATAAGCAAAATTCCGCGAGTCCACGCCTCGAGAAATTGCGAGAGCTCCCTTCGCCGTTTCTCGCGGCTCTCCCGTGCGTCATCGTCATCCACCGTCGTCGAAATCGAATCCGCGGGTTAAAACCACTCGAACGTTTTTAACCTCGTTGCTCCGTGCGTATTTTTAACGGGAAATCACCGCGCACTTTTATCGCTCGGCAAAGCGCAATTCAAAGCCGCTCGCTCGCCCCGCGCCGCGCCGCTGAATTCGCCACACGGCGGGGGGGAGGGGGGGTAACCCGGTGTTTGTAAATCGGCCGCCGGAGGCGGAGATAATGGGACGATCGACAGCTTCAAACAGCGATTATCGTTCGGGAATTATCCCTCCGCGGGCTGGCAACTATGCCGTACGACTATCGCCATCGGGGCCGGAATGAACCCACGCGATTTAGAGCATCTTACCGCGGCCGGTCTCCGCCCGCTAAATGCGCATTGTCACGTGACGTTCGTATAAAGGTAATTAAGATTTCTGAGAACGTCACCTCGTCTACCGGCGGTTATTTATAGCCCGGCCAATTACCGTGCACCCGTGCCTTGTTTGTCTCGCCACGATATACGCGCGCCCGGGCTTTTATTTTCAAGTCCGCCGACCTGTGCTCGGCCGCCCTCCGCGCGCTCGCGTTTGCAAATTATCACTATCGCGTGTTTGCGAGAATTAACATATCGCGACGGCGCACCACCAGCCGATGATGCGTGGCCCGGTTATCGGATGACCGGGGCTATTTGTACGAATGCTTTTGTTCCATTATGTATTCCGGGGGAGAGGAGGGGGAGGGGGGGGGAATCTACATACCNCTGAGGTTTGCACGTCGGAAAAATCGGCCTGTCTAGTCGATATTTTTTCCCTACATTAAACCCTTAATTCTACAGCATAGTAGAAGCTAAGATAGGAAGATAGATTTTATATTTCAATTTTGATAATATAACTTCTACCTTTTTGACTCTGATGATGTCTTAAACTTCCGTTTTCGCTGTATTACCGTCAAAATAGATTGTTGTAGGTAGTACTAAAATTCAACTTGTACATGGAAGAAAAAGTTTGATTGTATTAACCAGAAAGGGAATAACCAGATGCCTTTTGGTTAAAAGGAAACAGAATTTCTGGTTATAACAACCACATTTCGGTCATAAGAAGCAAAAATGCTGTTTCCTTCAACCAGAACGCATCTGGTCCCCTTTCTGGTTAATGCAACCAGATTTTACTTCCGTGTGGAGTCGTACTGTTTTACTATAAATTTTTTTAATACTATACTCGTTACTGGCTGCACAGAATTAAAAATCCTTTTGCACAATTATAATACACACGTTAATTTAGGCGACAATGGTTGGCTTTGTCCAAAAAACGAGAAAAAGTTAACGAATTACAAAACGTTTTATTTGTATTCTTGCAAAAGGATTTTTAATTCTGCACAGCCAATGACGAATAAGAGTACTAAAAAATTGTGATAAAACAGGAACGATTCCAAATAGCATCCAAATTTCGACTCGGGCTGACCTTCCGTCTTCCTATTATCGATATCGGAAACGAAAACGGAGTGTGGAAGGGGGGGTGGGGGAGGAGAGGCACGACGAAGACTAATTCGGGTAATTTGATTCTGCGAAATCTAGAGGAAGTCATAAATATATATAGAACCGCATGATACAAAATCTGATGCTCCATCTCCGGAATAACAAGGCCATCAGTTATTCATCACGACCGCCTGAAGTTCTTAATTTTGGACGTTGTCATGGGGCGGAAACGGCGAATCGAATATTTATAGACACATTTAACCTTCTTAACCCACCATTCGAGTCACCGTCGTCGCGGTGGCGACGTTTCCGCCGGGACCGACTGTACGCATCGATTCTCTAACCCCGCGATCCGCGCGGCGTTGACCGAATCCTCGAAATAACACAGCCTCCGGAATATTCGCGGCAAAAAGCAAAAACAAAGGCAGGACGGAATAACGCGCATTTGCATCCTGGCCAACAAGCGTCACGAATTATTCAAAGTATTTCATACCGCGGCGAATCGCGGAAATTTCATCCGCGCGCCACGGAGAAGGAGAAAAAAAAAGACACAGGCCGCGGTCGCCGCTTCCACCACCATCGCCAACCCGCACGCGCGTTTAACCACCCGCGTGCTCCTCGTTAAATGCATAAACTCGCCTCGCATTAGCACGTGACGCGACGTCGCGCAACAAAACCGGAATGAAAAAGACGCGAGAGTACGTCGAGGGTGTCGAAGGAGAACCCGTGGACGGGGAAGGAAAGGGGGGGGNGGGGGGGAGCAGATGATCAGTCCGCGCTTTCGACGATTAGGGCTCGAATCTCGGGAGCAACATTCGGAAGCGCGTCGCGGCACTTGGCCACTGACTGACCGGTCGACGCGGACGCCCGATTTCAAAGTTAAATCGAGTTTGAACTTTGAACCGCGATCGCGGCACTGGAACCGAAACCTCAGCGAAGTGGGGCCGAGTTAACACTCGCCATCGCGGGCCCGCTCGAAACCGAAAGAACACGACTTCTCGCTTATCGTCGTCACTTCGCGGCGGCGGACTCCTCTTCCTCACTCTTCTCTCGATCCCCCTCCCGATCCCCATCGAACATGATGGGGAGGAGAACGACGACTCGATCCCTTTCGAGGACATTTTCCAATCAGAGAACTGACGACGACGACGACGACGTGGAAGAGGAGAGGACGCGGTCGTGTAAAGCAATCTGCGCGACGTCTCGCACGAAATCGCGTTCGGGATCGCTGGCGCTGCCGCGAAACTGTATTACGATGGATCGTTAACTCAAGTACCATAATTGGCTCAATTTCCAATAAAGCCCGGCGAACGGTGCGCGGAGCTCCACGGCCGTTTAAATAAAACAATAGCACGCGCGCACCGCACTGCCACTTTATTCCCCGCGCTCCTTCCGCTTCATCCACCTCCTGCTTCCGTAACTTTCTCCCTCTCACCCTTTTTCTCTCTTTCTCTTTCGTTCGACGGAGTCTCCATGCAAAACAGCGTAATCGAAGATTCTACATTTTTTTCTATCGCGCGTATCGCGTATATAATTTAATATATATAAAGCTGCCGGCGCGGGTTCTCTTAATTACGGCCGTGCGAGATTTATTAGCTTGTCACGAGAATCTCTCGTCGGTCAATTCGCGCGCGGGGATCCCACCGGTTCCCCCGGACACGCGAGAACACACTCGCGCGGCGGCGAAAATAACGGGGCGCGCTGATTTATTTTTGCAGCTTCTCCCGCTGAATTTGATACCCGTTCTCGCGTAAACCGCAATCTTAAAAGCGTCAGGGCGAAAATTCGTTTTGAAAAATTGCGAAAGGTAAACTCATTTACTCATACATTTGATTGCGCTCGATTCCTGCTTTTTGAACGGAGCGGCCGCGCGCGCAAAGCCCGATAAGATGGGAAATGCACGAAATTCCGACGTCTTCGACGGGTCTTTGTTTCCCTTTAATTCTAAATGAATTTTTCCACCCGCCCGTTCCTCCCATCCGCT